CTGTGTGCCTAAAGAAAGGAGGCTAACGCTCTAGTGAATAAATTTGCGAAAACTGATTTAACCAATCTTTTGAGACAGAAGTCTAAACAGATGTACAGCCTAAAATAATAATTGTCAGGACCTGCATCATGACAGAAAGGTCGATGTACTTGAATCATTTTGTTACCTTCTAAATCTTTAAACAGAAGAAAATTAGTTATCAATTATTCATCAAATGTAAAGTTTTAATCCACATGCATTTATACTCTTCAAGAGTCGAGTTTTCCAGAGAGTCTACTCCTATTGCTCTACATGGTTGGTATCACCTAGGAGGGTCACATACCCACCATGAAGAGTTTTCATATATGAAAAAATCTTCAACTTACTAGCCACAGGGAAGAATTTAGAGTCTGAAAATGATAGGCATATCATGTCACATATCCTTTATAGAGGCAAAAAGAATTGTGTATATACCTTTAATTTCATCATCTTGGCAAAGCTTTTTAACCAATGTTGTCTTCCCACAACCTCCTGGAGCAGACACAACGATCACTGATTTCCCACCCTCAAACAGCTCCATCTTCAATTCCTTCAATGGCACATCCAATCCAATAGTAAAATCGGAAGGTGCGGGAGCAGGGCATAACCCTGTGAACTCCATCTCACAGAAACCACCACCATTGTTGTCCTTCAAATTTAATCTCCTAATCTCCATACGCATATCTTTGACCTCCAAAAGAATCTCCTTCTGATCTCTGGCTTGCTGCAGCTGCAGATCGAGGTGGAAGAACTTACTGATCATCCGATCTAACTTGTCAAGCTTCCTCGAATAACGAACCTTCTTGTAAAAATCATAACGGCGAACTTCTGAACATTTACTAATCAGTTTTTCTCCTTCCCTCATACTGTCAATCAAAATTTTGAGATCTTCTGGGCGATCCAACTGTTGGTTCATTGATGCTATCTTGTCTACGATTGGGTTTATTCCCGTAAGCGTGGATTTCAGGCGCTTGAAACTGGATTTGAAATGCGAAGCGTGATTTGCCTCGCTAATTATTGCCTTCAGTAATTCACCAAATACTGCACCAACAGCAGCTCCCCCGACGAGGTCCGCCATGAACTCCCTTCACCCAAAAGACGAGATTGAGTCTGCAGGTCGGCCAAGGCAAGCCCTTAGTCCGCCCTTACTGAGTTCACCTCGAGTTCCTTGTAAAACTGCCAATAATTATATCTAACAATTCTTCTCAAGACAAACTCTGGTCAATTACAGTGAAAATTCATGAAATCAAACCTCTAATTACAAAATACACTAACAGTTGAGAGTATGCTTTCTTATTAAAATCTAATAATCAACAAACAAACATAATTACGTACCGTCATTTGACATTAACTTGATTCTACTTGAGTAGACCGATGATTCAAACGATAAGAAATTTGTTTGAATCCACAATAATATCACCGAAGAAATTAATTATTTTTCAAAACGAAAACAGAAAACTGAGCTCCATGAAGTTTCCTTTTTCCCGGTTGGCTAATTGGCGAGTTGGACTTCGACGACGACTTCCAACAAATTAACGCCCGTCAATGAAAACAGATATGCTTCTACTTGTGTAACAAAAAACAGAATGTTATTCCTGACGTTTATCTAACGTGTCGTTACTGTTCCTGGCTTTTCTAGAATTATTATAAATGATTACTACGTCGTGCGCTTAAATTTCCAAAATTGAATTGCAAAAAAAAAAAAAAAAAAGTGTCTTCTTAATCAGTTTCGTCTCTGTACAAATTAATGCTGAAGGACCCAAGAAATTAAATCTTAAAAAATAGAACTCTTAAAATTTGTTTTCAATAATTTCACTTCATTAATTTTAAAAATAAATTTATTATTCCCAAATCCAATTTTTATATATTTATATAAATTAGAGAGATTTAGGAAAATGGTTTTTTGTTTCTACTGTGTGTGGAAGGGGTTGGTGGGTACGGTCCGTCGAAAAATGGAAAATACCAAATCGACTTTTCGATTCGTTCTGACTGGCTAATAATGGAGCGTGTATGAGGAAAGTAAAAAAATAAAAAATAAAAAAGGAATTTGAACCCGACGTGAATCGAACACGCAACCTTCTGATCTGGAGTCAGACGCGCTACCATTGCGCCACGGATCCTCGCTTGCTTATGATGTAATGTTATTTTAATTAATTATTTAGGAGAATTAAGAATGTAGATATAAAGGTTTTAGAAACTTGGGGATGGTACATATTCGTTGTCCATAAAATTATTTCATACTATTACACAAAATGAAATATTAACAAAGAAAAAAATATATATTTACATTAATTTTTTGTTAGAATTGTTCTTTTAATTTTACCATTTTTAGATTTTGAAAAAATTAAATACAACATCTCATATATGCATAATAAACTCCATTAACCATGTGTTTATAGTGAAAGTAAAATATTAAAATATAAGAAAAATTTTCCTCAAAATTTGAAGTCCCATGTTAGTTTTACCCAAAAGAAAGAAAAATATGGAAGGTCACTTTAGCATCCTTCCCTAAAAACCATGGTTTTTAAATAGATATTAAATCATAAAAAATAACACCCATTTTGTTCGAAGTAAAAAATTTACAAACCATGAAATATATGTTCAATTAAACTATACGTGTATAATTTGTCTTTAAAAACTTATAGTTTTAATATAAACATTTTAATTTATACCCGTTAAAATCATTCTTTTTTATATTATGTACTTAATTTTTTATTATCCAATTTAAAACAAAATAATTTTTTATATCCTTTTGCTAATTACTATATAATTAATTAAATATTTAAATATTCTAGTGAAATGATTATTTTTATATATACGCGAGATAAAAATATATTTTAATAGCAATTGATGAACAATAAAATTGTACTTCCCTTTTATGCGAAAGCAAAAGCGGCATTTAAAAAATGGCACCAAAAAACAGAGGGATTTGAACCCGACGTGAATCGAACACGCAACCTTCTGATCTGGAGTCAGACGCGCTACCATTGCGCCACGGATCCACTTGCTCCTTTAGGTGAGAGCAATCGTATCTATTAAATCGTAATATATTGACAACAAGAACATTCGTTGCTAAGGAGTCAAATATGTATTTTCTGTAGTTAATTATGAAAGGAAATCGAGCAAAGTTCCATCAAAACCCCCAAAAAAAAAAAAAAAAGAAAAAGAAAGAAAGAAAAGGAAACTGAAGCAAACTACTCCTTCTTCTTCTCCTTCTTATGCTCTCTGACAAGCTTCCTTTTCATGTTCATAATTACCTTCTCATCAACCATATGATAAACTCTTTTTGATTTCGCCTTCATCCATTCCCACCCCTTGTTTATTCTCTCCTCATTCTTCACATAAATTGCCGGCACCGTCATGCCCACAACGACACCTTCAACAGTACGAAGAAGCTTTCTTATATACCCATTGTTGTGTCTGTTAATTACATATATATGTATATATACGGGTTGATTATATAGAGTTATTAAGAGAACTTTACCTAGGTAAAAAAGTGTTAAGATATCAAAGAAGCTTCCCACGTAGGCTACAAACCACAAGGCAACAATCGTCCTCACGAACAAAAACCATTCTCGTTCAGCACTCACCCAAAACATCCATCTTATTGTATCTTCAATAAGCTCTCGGCAATAATTTGCAAACTCAATGTCAAATTGCTCGCTAAGCTCCAATCTAGACAGCTTCTGTTCTTCTCTGCGCAACCAGAACGTAAGACTTTTCAATTCTCATTTTCCACATATATATAAAATATCATAAATGTGTGATGCCCGGACAAGGAAATTAATATAATAGTGAAGAAGTTGGTGTATAATATATATATATGTATATATTACTTTCCAAGAAGTCTCCTTATGTTCCCCCAAAGGAACAGTAAAATAACAATGGACATGTATAGCCATGAAACGACAGTAAGGAAGTTGAATTGATAAACATCCAGCAAAATCCATGTGGCGGTTGACACGACGAGAACCGTGAACGCCACCTTCTTTCTCCTCCATATGATTGCGTCTCTCACAATATCTGCACATGATACTTGTGTGATTAGTCAACTTGGAAATTCAACTACATACATATATATGTAGATGCAATTAAGAAAAACGTTGAAGGAGACCTGATTTGGGAGGTCGGCGATGCGAAGTACTATCAGACATGTTGAGGATGAGTGAAAATTGAGAAAGTAGGATGTGGAGAGGCTGAAGTTTTTTGTGGTTGAAGATCGAGGTGGATGTAGGGAGTGGAATTGTTGTTATATTTCCACGTGTGGAGGTAAAAAGCAACGTGGAAGCCATGCAGTCCAGGTTGCAGACACGAACATCTCTTGCATGGGTTTACTCTCTCTCTCTCTCTCTCTCTCTCTCTCTCTCTCTCTCTCTGTTTTTTTCCCGTAAATCAACCAAATAGTTTACGTGTGGGCTTGGGTATACATTTAGAAAACTACCCGTTTCAAAGAACGAGGCCTGATTATTTAAGAATAAAAAGGACAATAATTAAGGACTAATTAATCAGAATTGAATGATTAAATTAGTTTTAAAAAAGATTATGTGATTAAATTGGCCGAATCATGAAGTTGATACCTTTGTGATGGCACGCGTAAATCATCTAAATGATTTCACTGATGTAATCATAAATTTTGGGGTAATAATTTGCACACATCATATCGGTTCACTTAAAAACGAGCTTTTTCTCATTTTGTGTCCTAGAGACACATCTGAGAAACAGCTCCAATCCCCTGAGAACAAGCTCTTTCTCGTTTTCTTATGGCTTCAATTACTGGAGACATGTTGCGAGCTCCATTTACGACGGAGATGCTTTCTCTCTATAAACACGATGGTAGATGAATAGGGAAAGATGATGGTGGAAATATATGTTTTAACCCACAGTAATATGTTGAAGCCTTAAAAGTGAATCACGACTAAACATCATTATGAAAACAAGAATTCTGTTCTCAACTGTATTGCATTTGGGAGTAGCTCATACGGAAGTTGACCGCAGTGAGCAACTAATATAATAGATGTATATAATACAGTTTCCTTTTTGGGTAGAGAGTGAAAAGACCATAAAAGAGGAGAAAGAGTATCACCGGCAAGGACAGGGAGAACATCATCATCAGAACCGATTAATTACATTTCCTTATCATGGCCACCAACTCAGCATACAGAACATCTGGATGGTTAATAGTTGAATTTGAGTCCGGGACTGTGTACCATAATCTTAGGACAAAGGATAAAGAAAGTAAAAATTTAGTACCAGAAAAAGAGAATGGCAAGTCAAATTGAGTAGGAATGGTGCACCGATCTGCCGTATTGGCAGCCATGGCTCTTACGTAGAGCCAACTTCTGGCTGCCCATCATTTGCAGGCCCTACTGGGCCACTACCACGTTCTCACCACACTTCTCTCTCTCATCTATAATTATAGCATTAACTCCATTCTTAAGCTTTGTTCATCTTAAGATGCTGCATATATACCACTACTGCATATAAACAAATATAATTTGTTTATACATATATATATATATATATAGAGAGAGAGAGAGAGAGAGAGAGAGAGAGAGAGAGAGAGAGAGAGAGAGAAATCTCACTACCATATTCATAATCGTGAAGCCAATAGTGGGTCAGTTACTAGCCCTTAAAAACTGATATATTTTTTGAAAACTAATTACTTACATATATATATATATATATATATTCAATTTGGCAATAAAAAGTGAACCCACAACCAACTACTGAGGGGTCTCCCTCGTGGAAGACAGATTGTACATGTAGAAGGGAAGATTCGTTGACTTTGTTTAAATTTATCCACTTCATTGTCCAATAAATATATAAGCTAATATAAATTCTCTCGGTTAATATAAAATTATTATTGTCTAAAATCATATTATATTATATTACACAATTAGGATACGTAGATAGATCAGTTGATAAATTATAATATCATATAAAAAATTTTATTCTAAATTATGTAATGTTAGAATGTAAATTAGTTCAAATTTTCATTTTTTATCATATTTAATTATGAATTATCGATTGTTTGTTAAATTTTATAAATTACATGAAAATATAAATATTCTAAATTCGAGAATTCAAGATTTTTATAAAATATTTTTAATGAAAAAATGTGAGTGAAGAGTCTCACTAAATTGAATTGGTGCATGAATTTTAATGAATAGTGAAAATTCTTAATCTCTCCTAATATTTATCACACTTTAAAAATTCATGATTTAAATTGATATGATAAAAATTGAGATTTCTTATTAAATTGAGATTTCTTATTAAATTGTATTAATTTATCTTAAAAATTTTCATTTCAATTAGAATTTAATTATTCATCACGTACAAAAATTTTTACTAAATATCACAGTTAAATGGTTAAAAGGTTAAATTCATAATTGGTGAATTCATAAGTTCAATTTTTACTAAATGCATATCAATGAGATCATCTAATAAGTCCATTAGAATTGATTTTGTATCAATATAATCTTATTATCTATATGTAATGAATTCGTGCGATATATTCATTTCATAATACTAAAAGTTTATAAGCAAAAAAATAAATTCGTAGATTGAAATCAAATATATAGTATTTACAGACAAAAATTTTAGAGAAAAAAAATCAATATAATTCTAATTAAACACATTACATGTTTGTTTGGACTCAAACAAGTTGTAGCTGGATTCCAATGTAGAAATACGAATTAAACAGATTGAGATTGGATAGATATTCCTTCTCCAAGATAAGACGATCATTTATTTGATTTCTGTTTCTCATTTTTTTTTCGATTAACGAGCTTTTTTTTTGTTTTTTGGTAAATTATAGCTGTTACCCATTTCTTAAGATTTCAGCGTCGTCATCATCATTCTTTTTGGAAGAAATGAAAGGTGAAATTAATTAGTTTGGATAGGAGATGTTCATGGGATGGTACTTTGTTCATATTGAATGTATATTCAAGCAATATTTGTCTCCTGCCTTCTGCTTGCCGGCTTTATTAAACATACCCATCTGCCATTTCCATCACTTGTTTTTTATAATTAGATCTTGTCGAATACTCAGAAAGTTAAGATCAACAACAGGCAACCCAGATTCGTTGGTTAGTCAAAGAAAAAAAAAGGAAGGATTTTTATTAAAAGGAAAAAGAATAATTGGCGCCGAAATTAGAGGATTTTTTTCTCACCTTTATTTAGTTTTTTGTTTAATGAAAGAGTGAGTAGGAACAGTTTATTAATTTTAAATGGGTAAAATGAAGTGTTAAAGCTTAAAACAATGCTTAAGTTTGAAGCAATTATCATAACGCGGAAACGCGTGAAGTGGGATCAATAAGAAGGGAAAAGTAAAAAAAAAAAAAATCCAATTTTGATTCCATCCAACCAAACACTCCCCACTGACACTGTTGTTGCTTTCTCCCGCTTTTCTGTTGTTATAAAACCTGGTTTTGGTACTGTCTTGAACTGTAACCGGGAGTGGCAGAATCCTTGATCTACAGGTAAATCTATTTATGCTTATGTTTTTATCAAGAAAATTAAAGAGCGTGTGATCTTGATATCCCTCACCATTTTCCTTTTCTCTTACGAGAATATTGATCTAGTGGGTTCATGGGTTATTGTCATGTTTTTAACAGGGAGCAGTAATGGGAAGGGAAGTCATGCTCCTCCCGCTCATTTTTGGAGTTCTGGCTATTTTCGATGGCGTATCGCTGGTTAAAGCAGATGACCCATATAGGTACTACACATGGACTGTCACCTACGGCAATGTTTTTCCTCTTGGTGTTCCTCAGCAGGTAATGTAATACAATTTTGTTCTTTGGGGAGCAGAATCTGATGTTCTAATGAATGCCACGTGTTTGATGTATTGCTGAATCTAAAGTTAAGGTTTTGGTATTTGGTTTTTGAAGGTTATTCTTATCAATGGTCAGTTTCCTGGACCAAGACTTGATGTGGTCACCAATGACAACATTGTCCTCAACCTCATTAACAAGCTGGACCAGCCTTTTCTCTTGACATGGTGAGTTTTAGCTTTCTCTGTTACTAAAATCTTTGGATCTGCTCAAACTTGACTGGTTGATTTTGTTGTCACTCATATTTTCTTTGCCCACAAGATACAAAGTTCCTAAGGGGAGGAAAAACCTTATGGCTAGATTGCCAAGACGCCCATCTACTGAATACAAATCTATTTCTTATGTCCTCTTGAATCTTTATACTTTTGAAACTTCTGGAGTGGGTGTTATTTTTCTCAGTTCTTTTGGGGCCTTTGGCGCCTTTCTCCAAATCTGTGTGTCACTCTTTGTAGCTCATTTTATTATTTCCTAGTGACATGTAATTGGACTCTTTTGACATGGTTTATTAAGAGTTTATTCTGTTACTTTTAGGAATGGAATTAAACAAAGGAAGAATTCATGGCAAGATGGAGTAGTGGGCACCAATTGTCCCATTCCTCCAAACGCAAACTTCACCTACAAGTTTCAGACCAAGGATCAGATTGGTTCCTACACTTATTTTCCATCAACTTCAATGCATAGAGCTGCTGGAGGATATGGAGCTATCAATGTCTATGAGAGACCTAAAATACCAATCCCGTTCCCCAACCCTGAAGGAGATTTCACTTTGCTTATTGGAGATTGGTACAAGAGTACCAGCCATAAGGTAAGATTTCCTCTATATTTCTTCGAGGCTTCAGTAAATGATCAATTGAGCAAAATTTTTGTGCTCTTTTATACTCTTAGAATGGTTTATTTGTGTATTGTTGTTCTGATGCTTCTGAACTCCTCAGAATTTGGAGCTAGAGGTTGTGCTTCCAATTGTGAAGTAGGCTAGCATGGAATTGAAACAGAAATGCTAAATATGACCTTGTTTCTTGTAATTTGATTCCAATTTGCTATCAAAGATACAATCTTTGTCTGTGTTTTTATGAAAACTTGGGAACTTGGAAAGATGGTTGAAGTGGCTGTCTTAGGTCTCCTAGTGAATTTGAAATATCACCCATGATACTAGAACGATGATTCTTGGCTGCATGTTACATGTATGATGTTGCTCCTATGGATTTTTTGATATTCTTGCTGCACTCACTAAGGTATTCGGACATGTTTTAATCAGTATTTACATAATTCATCCCAATGTTTTCAGACATTACAGCAATATTTGGACTCGGGGAAGCCTCTCCCATTTCCTGATGGGGTCCTCATAAATGGTCAGGCCCATACTACATTTAATGGTGATCAAGGTAATATGTCGTTATATTTATAATCCTTGAATGATCTTAGAATTCTGAACTGTTTTTGGTCGTCCTGCAATGTCTTACAACTGCTTTTCTTTAATACTTCCAGGTAAGACCTACATGTTCAGAATCTCAAATGTGGGTTTATCAACCTCTTTAAACTTCAGGATTCAGGGCCATACTCTGAAACTAGTTGAGGTTGAGGGATCTCATACAGTCCAGAATATATATGATTCACTTGATGTACATGTTGGTCAATCTGTGGCCGTCTTGATAACCTTGAATCAGCCTCCAAAAGACTATTATATTGTTGCATCAACCAGATTTATGCGGCGTGTTCTTACTGCAACAGCTGTATTACACTACACAAACTCTCATAGCCCAGCTTCTGGGGCCCTGCCACCTGCTCCAGCAGGCCAGTTCCACTGGTCTATGATGCAAGCCAGAACTTACAGGTACTAAAATTTTAGAAGATTTGACCTTCCTAACATGTGTGAAAATTTTGTAATTTAAATAAACAAGGTATAAACACGTTCTTCTGAGGCTTAAAAGTTAATTATCTGATTTCAAGGTGTTAGGTTCTCTAATATCTGCCCTTTTCTGAGTATTGATTGATGCAGTTCTCTCTCGAGATGAATATCTGTCTAACCATAAAGAGAACTGGATTAGAATTAAGTAATCCGACTGATCCTTTTAACTTCTGTCTTAAAGGTGGAATTTGACAGCTAGTGCAGCCAGACCAAATCCTCAGGGCTCCTTCCATTATGGAAAGATAATACCAACAAAGACAATTGTATTGGAAAATTCAGCACCTTTGATAAATGGAAAGCAGCGTTATGCAGTTAATAGCGTCTCCTACATTAATTCTGATACCCCAGTAAAGCTTGCTGATTACTTTAACATCCCTGGAGTTTTCAGTGTGAATTCCATCCAAGCCCTTCCTTCTAATGGCCCTGCAACTGTAGCTACCTCAGTTATGCAAGCTTCTCTCCATGATTTTGTTGAAATTATTTTTCAGAACAATGAAAAGACCATGCAATCTTGGCACCTGGATGGTTATGATTTTTGGGTGGTTGGGTAAGTTTCTTCTTTTACTCTAGTTGTCCGTGCTTCTGGACATTGACATTTCTGTCTAATTCTTCCTGTTTGGGACATGCACAGTTACGGATCAGGACAGTGGACACCAGCCAAGAGAAGAATGTACAATCTGGTGGATGCGCTAACAAGGCATACTGCTCAGGTAATGTATCAAAGTTGTAAGTTTCATTCGTTCCAGCTCAAAGTGGACATGGCCATATTGTTAATCTTTTTAATGTAAAATTATAGGATCCTTCATCCGTCCTCTAAGGAGCCAAGCTTTTGCTTTAACATGTTTTCATAGAAAACCTACAGTTCTAGTAACTTGGATCAATTGATTTCCATTTCTCCCGACTCTCAATTCCAAATACTATCATAAAAAATCCTCATAACTATTGGATTTGTTATAGGAAATGTCTCTGTTTCCAGTTCTTCAAGATTCTTGCTTGCTTCTTGTTCACTTCACTGATTCATGTTACTTGTTTGCAGGTCTATCCACAATCTTGGACCAGTATATTGGTTTCCTTGGACAACCAAGGTATGTGGAACATGAGATCTGCAGTATGGGACAAGCAGTATCTTGGACAACAGTTTTATCTCCGGGTATGGAATCCGGTCCGGAGTCTGGCCAACGAATATGACATTCCTCCTAATGTTCTGCTCTGTGGACGAGCTCTTGGTCGGCATTCTTAGTTTGGTAACAATATTTATGCGGACTATATATAGAGTTCAAGTCATGAGAGTTTGACTGAGAGAAAAAAGATCACAGGGAAGATTAGAAAAAGAAGGGATGAAATAGAAACAGAAGAGAGAAAAAAAAAAGTAAGAATTGTCAACATTTGGCTTTAAAAAACTGGCTTCTGCTGGGATTCTGCTCAATGATTATGCATGAATTCTTATATCTCTCTCTGTCTTTTTCTTTTTTTTTTTTGGGTGTGGTTTTATCATTTCATATTATCGTGTTTACTCAAAGAGTCTGTGTAAATAGTCATTATTTCGATCAGTAATGTCATAGTTCAAACTTATTGCTAGTAAAAGTCAGATTGCAGAACAGATTGAGGTTTTGATTATGAGCTTTGATCAAATTATTCTGATGAGAGGGATGATCAACTATTGAAATCAACATTGGTAATGAGATGAAAATTGTTTCAAAATACCAGCACAGTATCCTGAGATTACTAAAAGCAGTAATGTTGGCTCTGTGATTCTTCTCCAATTCAATCAGCCTCCTTGCATCAGTCACAACAGACACAAGGAAGAAGAAGATCATCATTGAGGCGACTTTCATGATTAATGCTTGATAAACCTGAAAAAAAGAAAAACACAATTTAATTGCATGCAGTAAATTATGATAATAATATTTGTAAGTGCATATTTTATATTATATTATATTATTATATATATATATATATATATATGTAATATATATCATAATATTTAAATCTTAATTAGACTGTATTTAAAATTTAATAACATATCATAGTCCACGCTCATAACCTTGTTAAATGCAATGTGTTAAGAGAAATAATTATGATAATAAAAATTTATTTTTATTCTTATTAATGGATCATATTTCTATTAGAGAACTTATTATTTATATTATTATTTTATGATTGGTAATATATATATCATTTAATTAATAAATATATGAATCTAATTAAAAAAAATATTTCAATAAAATTACTAATTGATAAAGCAAATTAAAAACATAATGAAGGCTTTAATGTAACACCCATTAATTTTATCATTTTTATTATTATTATTATTAATTATTAATTTATTTTATTTAGTTTATTTTGTAATTATTAAATTTTAATTGATTGATTTAATTTAATTTAATAAAAATAAAAATGATAATAATGATAAAATTGGGTAAAAATATTATTTGGATTTAATTGAAATTGATTTTGGAAAAAATGGGTGAAAATTTGGATTCTAGGGGTATTTTTGAAAAGAAAATCGAAAACCGGAGGTCAAAACGTAATTTAGAAAAGTTGTGCCCCGTCAGCGCCATGTCAGCAGCCACGTCAGCGGCCCATTCAGCAGCCCTGGCCAACCAGGACCTGCTGCGTGGCAAGGCCACGCCGACCCGGGAACGGGCCACGTGGGCGATCCGCGTGTGCGCGATCGGACGGTCCAGATGCGTCCCCGTGCGCACGGACGACCCAGATCAAGCATGCGCACGGACGGCCCAGATGCACGCGCACGGACGACCCAAATGCACGCGCACGGACAACCCAGATTTAATCCAAATTAAATCGCGATCGAACAGCTCAGATTAAATCAAGATGGACGACTGTGATTAAAAGGCAAAGGGTATAAATAAACCCCCCACACCTGACCACAAAAACCCTAGCCGCCAGCCCTCGTCGGAGAAGACGAACCAGACGCCGGAGAAGCCGGCCGCCGCCACCCGCTGTCGCACCGGGGAGTTTTTCGACCGCCGATCGAGGTAAATTTCATACTCCCGGCTCGTTTTTCAATGCTGAGTTCCCCTGTGGCCAAATCGGAGCCAAACTCCCGGCTAAACGGCCGAAACTCAGCGGCGCCGCCGCGCCCCTCTTCAGTTTTTGCCTCCGATGAGGCCCTTCCCGGCCTCCGTTTGATACAATTTTTATATCACCGTGATCACCATTCTTTTCTCTACAGGTTGATCGGAGCCAAATCACCAAAACACAAACCTCGCCGGAGAGCCGCCGCACCCGAGAGTACCGCCGTCGGTAAGCTTCGATTTTTCGTAATTTTTTTGGCCCCCCGAGGGCCCTAGGGTTGTTTTATCGCAGGGACTGATGTAAGTGTGGCCAAATCGGCCAAAAACGGCCAACCCGAGCGAATCACGCCGCAA